GGGGGCTGCCCCCTTCCTGCGCCTCCCCGCGCTGTGTCCGGAGCCCGGCTGGGGACACCCGGAGACCCGAGGTCCCCGGTTGAGCCGGTCTTTCCGGCCGGGGTGATTTTCGTTTAAAGATTAATGGTGAGGCCAAGCTCTTAATTATTCTCCTAGGTGGGAGGCGGCAGGAGAAATGTGTTAATATTTGATAAGGAACTGAAGGCGCTTCCAGCGGCGGGGCGCGGGGACCGGGAAGCACCTTTCCTATGGGGACACCCGGAGACCCGAGGTCCCCGGTTGAGCCGGTCTTTCCGGCCGGGGTGATTTTCGTTTAAAGATTAATGGTGAGGCCAAGCTCTTAATTATTCTCCTAGGTGGGAGGCGGCAGGAGAAATGTGTTAATATTTGATAAGGAACTGAAGGCGCTTCCAGCGGCGGGGCGCGGGGACCGGGAAGCACCTTTCCTACTACCTCCCGGGTCCCACCCCCTTCCCGAAGCCCCCTCTGCCCGTCCCCGGCTCAGCTCCCCCTAAACCATGGTCCTGGGTGCCATCCGACCAAACCTCCTCTCCAAAGCCAGGTGCCCCTCCCTTTGAGCGCGGAGTGGGGGGCGAGGGAGCCTCTGCAGCAGGGGGAGCGGGTGCGGGACGGGGCGCAGGACAGCCTGGCCGCCTGGGGGAGAAGGGCCCGGTTGAGGGGCATCTTGCAGCGACACTCGGGAGAGGAGGAAAGAGAAAAAAAGGCAGTGAAGGGGTTCAGAGCAGGACTCCCCGCGATGTGCCGCTTGGGCCTGTGAGTGATCTTGAGCTGAAGGCAATCGAAAAACTGTTACCTCTCCCTGGAAGACTCTATATTGGGGCCTTACCAATCAGAAGAGTCATTACCAGAACTGACCTTTTAGGACTTAGTTCTGAGGCAGGGCAGACTTCTAACTATTGAGCATCTGCTCTTCTTATTGTTTTGGATGTGGACTGCCTCCCCTCGGAAGCCCCAAGGCGCCTTACCTCATCCTTAGCCCAGAATGCCATATGGACCTCATTTTCCCTTTCGCGGAACCGCTCATGCATGTGGGGTTCCCACACGTACATATGAGATTAAACTTGGTCATTTTCTCTTGTTAATCTGTCTCAAGTCTATCTGGTGATCCGACAGCCGAAAGACCCCAGGAGGGTAGGAGGGTAGGGGAAAGTGTGTCCCTCCCTTTCACAGCAGGACTTGAACATTTCTATTTATTTATTGATTAATTTCTTTTTATTGATGAAGGGGAAGGGAGAGATAGAAACATCAATGATGAGAGAGAATCATTGATTGGCTGCCTACTGCACATCCCACACGGGATCGAGCCCACAACCCGGGCATGTGCCCTTGACTGGAATCGAACCTGGGACCCTTCAGCCCGCAGGCCGACGCTCTGTCCGCTGAGCCAAACCAGCCAGGGCTGAACGTTTCTATTTAGAGTTGGACCTTTGAAACCTACTTAAGCAGACAGGCTCAGTAGAAAGAGGAAGGTTTTGCAATTAATTCGGGTGTTTTGTGGCTGTGTGGCCTCGGGTAAGTCACTCTCCGTTTTCTCATTTACAAAGCAGGATGGTAATTAACTCCACGTGTGGTTTTAAGGGTCCCCGTAAGCCAGTGGGTGTATGGGCTCCGTGTGGTGCGTGATGGCTCTACCGCTGGCCCGCGCCAGCCAACCGGGGCTCGATCTCAGCTGCCCCCTCACACAACCTGCGCTCCTTTTAAGGCCTGGGCCCTGCTTTCCTGCACCCATTTCATCCCTCAGGGAACTTGAGGCCGGAGAAGGACGGGGCTGCACAGAGTCCCCAGAGCGTCTGCTGCCGTGAGCGGAGGGGAGAGGATGGGGGCCCCTCAGTCGCAGCCTCCGGGCCAGGACCTTCGGAGACTTTGCCCAGGACACATTTGGGTTTCGCTGAGCTGGTTTTCAGGATCCCTTCCTCCCCCCAGAGTGGGAGGGTGGGGTGTCCAAGGTCCATCGGAGGGAGATTCTTCAGTCGTCTCTACAGAAGGGGGGTCAGGGGTGGGAACGTCAAGGCTGGGGGACAGTGGCTGGGTGATTGGCGATGGTGGTTAGTCTCTCACTCTGCTTCTGGTTAGGGCAGGTAGACTAGGGGGAACCTGGAGCTTGGAGCCAAGACCTAGGTGTGGGTAGCCCCCCTCCTTCCCGGGCCCTCTTGGCGGGGGGGGGGGGGGGGGGGCCATCTCTTGCCTTAAAGCCAGCTCTCTACCCACGGCCCACAGACAGACCTGACCCCTGGCCTTGGCCCCATCAACATTGTGTTTTCCTGGCTCCTGCCTCCTGAAGAGGGTAGTTACAAGAGCATTCATCCAAGCAGGTCAAAAGTTTCTATGATTAAGACAGTGGATCAGAGGTTACCATTACAAACGCAGGAGCCGTAGCTGGCAGGAAAGAGCAAATTCCTAAGAAAGCTTAGCCTGAACCAAAGAGGCCCTGGGGAGGCTCAGAGGGGGTTCCGCCCTTCACAGCTGGCTCCCAGGACTCTGGTCTAAGGAAGGCTTCCCTTGGAGTGGCTTTCCCATGAGCCTCCAGTCCAACTTGACCTTGGAGGCCCCTTCTGCCTCCGGGACCTCTGAGAGGTGAAGACACAGGAGGATTGTAACAAGGAGCTCGCCGGTGCAGGTGGCCTCCCACTCATCGTCTCCTGGGACACTCACTCCTGCCTGAGGAAGAGCGTAGGGCTCAGAAGTCCGTGAACTCGCCCGCAGAGAGAGATTAAGCCAGAGGCAGAGGCAGCCAGGGGTCCGCTCCAGCGTCAGAGCTCTGCCACCCGCAGAGGGGCCTGCATGGGGAGTGGCCGCTCGCCCTTGCAGAGTTGACCCATATGGGGGTTCCAGAGGCAGCAACTCCAGGGGCAGCAGAGCCCTGTCCAGGGGAAGACGCTCAGGGACTGTCCCTCTCTGGAAGTGGCTGCCCCAGCAGGGGGCCTGGCCCCCTCCAAGAGGGCCCGGGAAGGAGGGGGGCTGATCCAGAGCTGGGGGACTTGAACACCCAAAGTGGTTCTGAGGGTCCCGGAGCAAGAGGGTGTCCAGCTTTCTGTGAGTGCTCACTCCTGGCCTCAAACTCTTCCTCCCACTCCCTAGCGAGACCCTGACCTCCTCCTGGCTCCCTCCCCACCCTGTCCCCATTCCAGGGACCCAGAGAAGGTGGGTTTGGATGGGGGGCGGCCCAGGCAAGAAGGTGGGGGGGAGGGGGGATGCTCAGAGGACTGAGCTCAGGCTGAGTGGGAAGCCGTGCTTTTCTTAGAAATTTCCTCATCCCTGAATTCTTTCCAACTCGGCTTTTGCCATCTGTGCACTTATAAGAGGCCAGAGGGAGGGAGGCAAGGGAAGGGAAGGGCTCAACAGGGACTTGGCTGAGTTCCAGGCTACCTGCAACACGCCTGCTTTCTCATTTAGTCCTCCCCCCAGCCCAGTGAGGTGGGTGGTGGTGTTCCACTTTACAGATGATAAAACTGAGGCTTAGCGAGATTAAGTGACTTGCTCCTAAACCCACAGCTCCTCAGCCAGAATTCCAGCTCCAGCTCCGGATCAAATGCTTTGTCCACCCTGCTGGTCCAGCCTTTAAAAATATATATATCGATAGACTTTAATTAGAGCAGGTTTAGGGTTACAGAAAACTGAGCAGAAAGCAGAGGGCTCCCGTGTGCTCCTTCTGCCCCTGCACAGTCTCCCTCTTGTCAACATCTTGCATTTGTGTGGCATGTTTGTGGTGCAGCCTTTCTGCAGAGATGCTGGTTCTACCAGCCTGAGGCAGAGCCGGGGTGAGAACCTGAGTCTGTCTGGTCCCCAAACTCAGGAGTGTGGGGAGGTGGGACAGGGGCACAGGCTTGGCTGTCTTCCTTGCTGTGGGGCTGTGAAAGTTTAGCCAAGAATGGGTCTTACTAACAGAAGAGGGAGGGGCCAGCCTAATCTCCTGGAGGCATCGCCCCCGCTTGGTCAACTCTGGGAAGGCAGCCAGAACCTGGCTCTGTTGTCCTAATCCCCCTCCTCCCCTCTCACCTCCCTTCCAGGTTTGGGTTGGAGGAGGGAGGGGGAGGCTGATGAGAAACCTGGGGGCCTTGGGGCCCTGCCTGCCCGAGAAAGGAGAACCCCAGAACCCGTGTCTTGGGGAAGGATGACCAGCAGATGAGTCACAATTCTTGCGCTGCCTTCTTGCCCCATCCCCACCCACAGTTTCTTCTTAAGTGTCCTCTCCTAGGAACACGCCACCCCAACCCCAGGGGGGCTCTGACTCCAGGGAGATTTGCAGCCTCTGACCCCCTGTGCATGCACACGCGCACACGCACGCGCACACACACACACACCGGGTGTGGCTTGTGTGCACACAGTCCACGTGCGCTCCTAGGGGCCTATGGGTGCACAGGTGCACGGACACACGCACACAGGCCTCACTCCTGCCTCTCTCTGCTCCAGAGTCACATTGGTGCTACGCGGTTCAAGCCAAGGACTCTGAAAACTGCTTGGGTAAGTCCAGCGAGCCTTGGAGACACAAGGATGGTGGGAAGGACGAAGGACAAGGGTGCCCCGCCAGCCACATAGCAGCTCTGAACACAGGCACACACGCATGCGGTATACACCCCTGGGCTCGGGGGGCCCTACCCTGGCACCCCCATCACTGTCATCCGGAGGGGGCGTCCTCTGGGATGTCATTGGCAGCAGCAGATGGAGAGACATTGGACGCTTTCGAGTAACAAAGTGGAGACTGGCACTTTCTACTCAAACGCGGACCGCCTTCCAGCCGCTCCTTTGGTCCTGCCTCTGTGGTCGCAGGCCGGACCGGGCTGCCCACGGTCACCAGGGTTCAGGCACCAGGTTCCTCCCTGGGTCACATCCCACCTCCAGCCCTTCCAGGGGACCCACTCCTCACCTGCCCAGAGCCCTCCCATCCCCCTTTGAACTCCATCACACAGGTTATCACCACATTTCTCCCCTCACAGCCCGGCAGCCTGAGGCTGTCCCCTCCCCCAGAGCTCACAGCCACCTACTGGCCACCCTGTTCCCACCCTGTCCCACATCACTGCCCGGCCCGAGGCCTTGCCACACGTGAGCTGGGTGCTTGGTCCCGACCTCCAAGGAGCAGAGGAGGCCACAGCCTGGCGCCAGGCACCCCGACTCAGCCCGCCTTCTCTCCCTGCTCAGCGCCGGACCAGTGGGGTGGGCAATGCCGGAAGGACCGCCAGTCCCCCATCAACATCGTCACCGCCAAGGCACGGGTGGACGAAAACCTGGGACCCTTCTCCTTCTCCGGCTACGACAAGAAGCAGAAGTGGACTCTGCAAAACAATGGGCACTCAGGTGGGTCCCGGGTGGGCAGGATGGAGGCCTGGGCACCGGTCCAGGGGCCCCTGGGTTCTCTGAGGACAAGGAGGGCACACAGGCCCAGGTCCACTTTGCTGAGAAGCTGGAAGCTCGGAGGGAGGGGAGGGGAGGGAAGGGCAGGACAGGCTTTGGAAAGAAGTATTTGCAATACGTCATCAGATCAGTCTGGGGCTGGGAGGGGGCGGTGTTCTGGGAACAAGGAACGACATGTGCAAAGGTGTGGATGTGAAACAGCCTGGGAACTGCACGTGGCTCCGTGTGCATGGAGGACAGAGAGTGAGGCTGGGAGGGGCCTGGGCAGGTCACCCAGGGCTGAGGAGGTGGCTATTCCCCTGAGGACGCCAGGCCACCACAGAGGGGGGTTGGAGCAGGGGAGGGACCCACGGAGTTTCCTGTTTGGGGCAGTGGGAGGTATGCAGAGGGAGAGGCAGATAGGGGGGCCCCCCCGGGGAACCGTCGAGGGCTGTGCCACCCATCCTGTCCCCTCCCTCCGGGTCCGGCCTGAAGCCCACAGAGGGTGGGACGCAGTTGAGGTCTTGCTTGGGTGGAGCTGGGAAGAGTGTTTGGAAGAAGCTAGGGGAGGTGGGTACAGGACTCTGCCCCTCCTGTGCCCTTCAGTGATGGTGTCGCTGGGGAACGAGGCCACAATCGCGGGAGGAGGCCTGGCCTCCCCATACCGGGCCAAGCAGCTGCACCTGCACTGGTCCAGGGTGCCGGATGCAGGCTCAGAGCACAGCCTGGACGGGGATCGCTTTGCCATGGAGGTGAGTGGCCCCTTCTGGGGTAGAGCCTTGGCTGGGAAAGGGGGTCCAGCCCCCACAATTTCCCTCTCCTTCTCTCTCACCTCCCACCAGATGCACATCGTACATGAGAAAGAGAACAAGAACGAGGCCCAGGACCCCAAAGACGAGATTGCAGTGCTGGCCTTCCTGGTGGAGGTGGGGCCCCGTCCGCCAGGGGCTGCTTCTTAGGATCCAGAGACCCAGGATTCGAGCGAAACAGGAGGGGCCTGGGGAGGCTCCTTGTTTCTCAGTGACTTGTACACCCTCCGGGGCATGGGCCGGGCGGGGGCGGGGGGCGCTCAGAGCCTCTCAGAGTCTCAGATGCAGAAGCTGCCTGCCCTCCCTACCCCCAGACCAGGAGAACACATTGGGGTCACCACCAGCTCCCCACAAGCCCCTCTCAAGCTCCCTCCCCTCCTTCCAGGCTGGATCCAAGAACGAGGGCTTCCAGCCGCTGGTGGAGGCCTTGTCTGCTATTCCCAGACCCAGTGAGTCAGGAAGTCCAGGAGGGGGAGCCTGGGGGTGATGGGAGGGGGGGGGACTTG